ACATCGGACACTCCTTATCGCCAGTCCTGTGGCCGTATGTCTTACAGCGCCAGCACTTCATAACCTTAACCTCTTTGCCTAAAGGCATCCAAAGACCCTTTTTTGGCGCATTGGCTAAGAATTGACGGGCGGCTGAGTTCTCAGGCAAATCCGGGATACAGTCTTCCGGTCTCTCCTCGTCCTCCTTCACCAAACCCGGTGGCGCCGACTCATAGCTGACAACACATCACACATGAGATCAGTATTTTAATGGTTAACAAAATTCAATACAAAGTGTCGTAATGTTTGAGCGCTTCCATGAGTTTGGTGTCAAAACTGGCCATCGCTTCACCGCCTCCTCCATCAGGTCTCACGTCTTTCGACTTTGTCTTTGACTTCCGGTCTCTACTCGAAGACATGTCTCACTATTTGTGAGCAATTGATGTGTGAAATGAATTTTAATTTAGTTTCAAATGAAATCAACTTTTTATATAAATTTTGTTAATTTAAAACTCAATTATTGTTTACAAACACTGAATGAGTGATGAGTTGATCGACGCATGCGTTCACGCATTCAATCAATTGTATTGTGATTTCATATACTGTTTGACACCAATTGTGACCACATTTCGGATCAAATACACCGGTCATCAATGGTAAGCATTATCTCATTTCTTTAATGACACCACACTTTTGTGGACACCATTTGAAATGATTGTCACTATTTATATATGATTTGACGTCAAATGAATGGCGAAACAAATGAGCGCTCATTTGTGACAAATATAATAAACAATTGATTTAATGACACATAAAATGATTGAATTGTGTTTTAGTCTGAGATCGAGGAGTCGTTGAAGCGGATCCATGGGTCGCATAAGGGAGTGATTGGTGTGATTGTTGTGGACTCGGATGGAGTGGTGATTAAGACAACGCTGAATGAGAGCACAGATGTGCAGCAGTCGTATGGACTGACCATCAGTCAGATGGTAGAGAAGGCCAAACAGGCCCTCAGAGACAACGATGAGCTCACTTTCCTCAAGATTAAGACCAAACGACACGAATTCATTGTCGTTCCCGGTATTCAACACTTCTCACAATCAATCCTTTATTTCATTCAATTTTACAATTTATAACACTTTATAACATTTCTCTAACATTTTTACATCATTTTTAGTTTTAATATTAATTAATCTAATATTTAATCCGATTTTCTATATAAATGACAGAAATTAGATTTATTTAATAGATTGATAACTAATAGGAAACTTACAAATGGACCTAAAAAGCACTTGTTTTATGCTTAATAGTATTGAGTTAATACAGTTTAATACAAATTATAATCAAAGCTATCATTTATTTTAAACAACTTTTTATTGATTTGTGAGAAACGATTGCATTATATCTAAAATGATTTTTGTTTCATTTATTTCAGATAAGGATTATATGTTGATATCACTAATCAATCCGAATGAGTCCAGCGCTTAAATTATTGGTTTTATATACACTTTACTTAAATTATTTCATATTTACGGCAATTATTGATTGAGATTCAGTTAAATGTCAAAATTGTATGATTTTATTCAACTAATTATTTTTTAATACTTTTTTTAGTAAATAAATTTACTATTGTTTAAAACATTATTATTCTTCTTTAATTGATATTAAAAACTTTTGGTACGAGTCTTCGTCCATCAATTGATCCCATTCCTCCATTTTAGACAATTTAATCTTAAAAAGCCAGCCCTCGTCATAACACGAAGAGTTCACTAAACCTTTATTACAAATTCAAAATCGTTTTAAAATCCAAACTTATGGTTAACTTTTATCTCAATTTCAAACCGGGTTTGTCTTCGAGTTTGTCATTGATTTGTGCGATACGTCCGGAAACGGGAGTGAATATCTCAGAGGCGGCCTTCACGCTCTCGACGGCCCCGACTTCATCTGTTCCCTCCATACAAACCATTCAAACATAACCAACA